AAAAGAAGCGACAGTCTGAGCCACCAATGCGAATGACACGGAACATATGACATGACACACGCACATATCATTCAATTCGGCGGATCATTAGCAAGCTCTCTATCAGGCTAGTTTACATAAATGTCTTGGAAGAGTGGATTTTTCAGATAATTATGACCTTTTATAACAAGGTACCCATATCTCGGAGATACACACAGGACCCAGAAACAGCACAGAAACAGATTCGGTTGGCCTTTTGCAACTCACTTTGTGGTTTGTTAGGGCTAGAATGATAAAGGTTTGACATATGGAGGTCTTGCATTATCAAAATTGTCTATATGTCTTTTATTTGCATCGCTGTGACATTACGCTATAAAATTACATAGTTGCGGATAGCTATAAGCACTCAACATGACTGTAAAGAAACCGCATTTGACTTACGATGCACTGCGTGACCCAAAATCTACATTAAAGACCTCGGTTTCAATTTTTTCCTAGAGCCGTTCAGTAATATATAATGATAATGAAAGCATTTTATAGAAATATGAATAAAGCACGCACAAATAATGTTCCCCTCATAAAATGGAATGACATGTTTCCAAGGAAAAGGTTTAAAATATAGAACAGAGTTGTGTAAAAAGGTTGTCATCAACGCCATTCTCCCATTACGTTAACCCTATTAGTGGCAGGCTCCTGGCTACCCCTATTAGTGGCAGGGGGGGGGGGCTGTTTACGACCCCCCCCCCCTTGATATCTCGAGATCTAACGGGCCGATTTTCAAAATTCAAACGGCATTCGATTTCGCTCAACGAGATCTACATTTCTAAAAAAAAAATTAAAAAATGTCAATAGGGGGGTAGAGGGAGGTAAAAACGGGCAAATTGCAGATACATTTTAGACTGTTTATCACGGCCAGGTTTCTGAACCAATCTTAACGCAACTTTTGCCGATCGATAGAGAATGAACCAGGAATTCACATGGATCCTAAAAATATGCATTTTCAAAAATCATAGGCGGATACAGATCATTGAGATTGGGGGTACACAAAAAGTATAGTAAATAAGGTTTTTGTTGGTACTGTTTCTAAAAAGGGTGGCAATGGTCTTGTTATGTTACAATTTTCTTATGAAAGAACGACTAAAATTGTATTGGTCATGCATAGGCGGTGTCAGGGCACCTATGTTGGGAGGTAAAAAATAACCCTCTTTTTGGACGCCTGGATCCGCCTATTATAGCAAAAACGTGTCAAAAGAGGATGCACAATAACTTTGTATGTGTTATCACATGATACCTTTCATTCACTGTTCGTAAAACTGGTGCAGCATCGTGATCTTCGCCCTAATGACTCGCTTCACGAATAAGACCCCCCAATTCCCAGTGCTCTGGAGCCGCCCCTGGTAAAGTTATGAACTTGAAATTTTCAGGGAATGTGCCCAATTTAGTTTTAGGAAAAGTCAGAAAATTTCAGCATCGTAGCTTCAGCTGTTTCGGAGATATTCCCGAAAAACCTGAGGGGTGGATAAAAACAACCCCCCCTGCCACTAATAGGGTTAAAATGGTGAGTTTTGGTATACTGAAATTATGCACACTCACGGTGGAGAATCCATTCTCGTCCGCGGTTCGGTTCTGTTCTATTCCTGTACCCTCCCGTCGGAGGACTCGGACCTATGCCAAAGCCGACGATTCCCGTCGTCCGCAGCTTTTTTCCGACCGTCCCGAGCACCTCCGGGCCACTAGGTATATGTGAGGGCCACAAACAAGCATGGCAAGGCTCCCAAGTAAACCACAGTCAACATAAAGGGAACGATCAAGGCTTAACCCTAGAACGCCTAGGGGGGGGGGGGTTGTATCAACCCCCCCCCCCTGAGGTTTTTTCGAAGTGCACGCTAAACGGCTTGTCGTAGCGGGCTGAAATTTTCCATACCCTCTGGGGCAACCTTTGCGCATCTTTTGCCGAAAAAAATTTGATCGGGTCATGTCAGGTCACGGAGTTATGACGTCATAAGAGGTACAGCCTCCGGCCGGATTTTCACAAACTGAGTGCCAACGCCCGAGGTTTCCTGCCGGTGGTACGGACATCGGTTGATGGATCGTGATGAAACTTCCCATGCATGTTGGGGCAAGTATTGGCTATCATATGGTATAAGAAATTTGACCGGGTCAGGTCAGGTCACGGAGCTATGACGTCACAAGAGGAACAGCGTCCGGTACTATTTTTGAAAAGCGCCCGAACCACTATTTTGCTAATTCTTGTCACCTCAATGGGAATATGCAGCAATATTAGCTTCTATAGGGAGCAAATGGACCTACCAAATCCAAAAATACAATCAGATTTCAAAAATTTAAATTTTGATTTTTCGAATTTCTGCCGCCGACTGTGACCTTGCCGACTTCCGGCGCTCCCAACGCGCCATTTTTAGAGCTAGGGAAACGAAATACATACCAAACGATAGAAAATTGATCAAGGAACACGATAGTGAAGGTTTCAAGTCGATATTTCCCACCGTTTTGCCGCAATCGCCACCGAAAGTTGAAAAAAGTCTATTTTTCCGAAAATTTGACCTTTGACCGGTCAAAAGTAGGTCAAATGTTGACCTAGGACCAAAAAATATACCACCAATCGCGAGATCTCGTTGAGAGCAATCCGTTGGTTTTTTCCGCTAAGCTCTACGACCTTCCGTTTCGAAACGCCAGGGGGGGTCGTAACAACCCCCCCCCCCCCTGGTCGTTCGTGTTATGAGAAATGGCCTGGTCGTGCGAGGGTTAACCCAGCAGGCGGTCGGCCTCCCGGCCACCTCCCGCGCGGTGGGGGGAGGCATATTTTTGCCCCCCGTATCTCCGAAACTACTGGACGGTTCCATAAAATTTAAACGGCGTTCGATAGCCCTGTCAAAGTTGTCGAAGAAAACCAAATTTCATTGACCTCAGGGTCACCGATGACGTCACAGGTCAGGTCAAAGATAACATGTTTCACCGTTCACGGGTCTTCTAGGGAATGTGCTATAACACCGAGAAAAACGCATTTTGTCGAAAATCAGCGATAGGGCGTCAGTTGCCTAGTACATATGTTGCTATTAGAGGTCACTGACAATACCACGTCAGGTCACAGGCCAGGTCACCAAGGGTCATCACATGAACCCAACTTTACTAAGGTTGTGCGATGCATGTTTTATGGCCAAATTTTCATTTCCAACTCAATGGTGTTGGTTATAAGACCATCAGGTACGGTTTAGGTCACTTTCTGGTGGAGGTCAGGTCAAGGTCAGGTAAAAAAGTCAAATTTCAAAATTGATAGTTTTGCATACAATGGGTACTGATTCGATGCAGCTTGTCACGGAGAGTCTAATGGTGGTCTTTGTTTTGCTCTACGAGATCTAGAATTGCTCAAAATTGAGTTTGAAAATTTGACGTCATCAATTTTGAACAGTTTTTTCACTAAAACTTGGCCAAAAACGAGGTATCGATCATCTTAAATTCGGTATGTGGATAGAAGGCGATAGGGACTATTACATATCATTCCGTTTTTTAATTCAAAAAACTTTTTGGATTGTTCGGCTATTATATTCAATTTTTTTTTTTTTTTGGGTCAAAATCCAAAACTTTCAAAAAATCCGACATCACAGTTTTGTAGCCCTGGTAATTCTACACCTTAAATATTTAAACATTTTTCTGCATCTCTAAAGCTGTAGGCCTGACAGCTCTTCCCGCGAAACCTTTTTTGGGTCGAAAATGGCAGAAATGACGTCACTCCGACGTCATAAGCGGCCAACGTCTGGGAAAAAATGGTCACGATGTGCAAAAGCTATTCTCGGGAGGGTACTGAAAGTTTGGTGACGATCGACGCAGCGGTTCTGGAGATATATGGAAAAAAACTAAAGGGGGGAAATGCCCCCCCCCCCGCCTGGAAGTTTAAAGTACGATGTGTAATTTGATACCCTCAAATGCTGCCTAGTCACATGCCAGTTTCTAATAACGAACATCGTTCACTGCATCTTGCTGCAAAAGAGGAGAGGATCGAAGTGAATGGTGCTTGAAGAGCGGTCGCATGTACAAAACTTAGCCTTGAGTATTGCATGTGCCTTACTGCCACATGCTGAATTTCAAATCATGGAGATGCGACACAAATACAACTAGATTTTTTATAAGCTTTTTAGATTCATTCTCAAGAGTAGAATTCTGTTATAGGTTCATTCCATCGAGTCACATTAATTCCCATGCCAGATCTGTCTTATTTCTCAGCCATTCACCTAACTGACCTTGTCTGAGAAGCGATATCCAGTCACAACTTACTTCCATGGTGTTCCAGGCCACTCTATAGCGAATTTGGTCATGGAGAGCATGCCGAGGCTACGTCTGGCAAATCGCACGACTGCTTTCGTACGCCTCGTATCCGATCCGGTATTGGATTCCGATTTGGACGCCGAATAGCTGCCTGAATGACTGTAAATTCGGCTTTTGATCCTTGCTTTACTCCGGATCGAGAATGGAGGATTGGCAGTTCCTTACGTCTGTTAGTCCCTGACGAGTGAATGCCAGAGCCAGTGTGAGCGATTGAGCGGCACCGTTGCTCACGATACCCCCGAACATTCATTTGGCATCCCTGATCCCAATCTCGCTTTTTGTCAGATAATGTCGCCAGTCCAATTCCCGATCGCCCAATAAACACAGAGGTATAATCGACCCTCTTCACACTCAGCGATATAAAAAGTTCACATAAAGCACAGTCGTGTTCACGCATCTGACGTTCCTACTGAGCTTCAAATACCACCAAAGGAGTGAGGAAAACATCCTCTACGGGACAGAAACGTCACACGTTCAATCTTAATCAACCACAATCAATCGAACCGATTTTTCACCCATTACTTTATATCGCTGGCGAGAGGTGGTATGTAATAGCCATAGCCCTATGGACCATCTCAATAAGCGTCTACGTGTCTGTGTGTCAAATGTCTACATATGTCCTAATCTGTGTTTTAGCAATAAACATTGATTAAAAAAAAAACAGACAAGAGCGCACTGACCTCCGATTGGAGCCGCGAAGCTGCAGGCCACGCCGACGGCACAGGCCGCCGCCAACATCTCGCTGTTCCTGCTCTCGTTCTCGTAGATTCCTTTGAAGGAGGTTACCATGCGGGTGAGCAGGGTGGCCACGATGCTGGCGATGTGGACGAACGGACCCTGGTGGGCAACGAGAAATAGGTAAAACGAGGTCAACTGGTGGCTCGAAAAGGGTTACTGGTGAGGTATGGAACTGCAGTGCATATGCATGCGTTGTTGATATAAGAGGTGCCTATATTTTAGGAGCATTGGCTATACACGAATAACCAATCGCTTCTCAATGACGCTCACATAAGCGCCTTAACCCGCGCACCGACGGGGGGCGGATATCCGCCCCCCCCCCCCTGAGGTTTTTCACGAATAGCGGAAAACCCGCGGCGCGTAGCGCCGCGAAATTTGGTACGACTATTCTGTCATCAATTTTACATAGGTATGGTGTGCAAGATTGAGCCTCTTAACTTAACAACTTAACAAAGTGACCTGGTCAGGTCACCAGGTCACTTTGAATGACCCAACCTCAATTCACTTTTTTGCTACTTTGTCACCGTGTCAGGGCTACAGTAGATGACGGAATCCTTTGAAACTCGGAGGATGTTGTTAAGCGATTGGTAGCTACAATTTAAATATCTTGGAATTTTGATATCGATGACCTAAGGTCAGATCAATTTCTCGAACTCCCCATTATAAGTCAATGGGGAAAATAAACTCCGTTTTTTCCACTAATACGCGTCGGAATGGTCCCATATACCATACATGACTTCATATACGATCAACCTTCACTACCTTGAGGCCTGTTTTGCTGTTGGGCAGCTGTAAGGTCATGTGACGTCATCAAAGGTCACCAAAGATGTTTTGCCAATAACTCCTTACAGGAACAAGATACAGCCGCGCGGATGGTCTCATTGTGTTCAGCTCGTCAAGGCGCATCGAATGATAGGTATACATGATTTCGAGGTCACGTGACCTGAGGTCAACCTTTGACCTTGACCCTTCGAGGTCAACATATATATGGTTCGATGCGAATTGACGAGAGTATCAAGATGGTGTCCTTAGTTTTGTTCCTAGCTGGACCAATTCGAAAGTTATTCGAGAAAAACTCCCTCCATATCTAGCGCCGCCATTTTGACTTTTTTGATCCGTGACGTCATCTTTGACCTGACCTGAAAATGATCTTTGTAAAAATTGTACACCTTGTCAGTGCGTACCCCATGCCGTTTACCGCTTGTCGCTATCTTGCTTCGTTCTCGAGATCTCAGGCCCCCCCCCCCCTCCCGTCGGTTCTAAGTTGGCGCAGACCCCCGTCGGTGCGCGAGTTAACCATTACAATATCCGACGCTCAAACTGCTAAAAAAGAGAGCAAAATATTGATTTTAAGAAAGCGTCACTAAATAAGACTTCACCGATCCATTATTTGACTTCTGGAGAAAGATATCTGATGCTGTACAGGAAATTGCAGACCAGGATAAAATACAAACCTCATAAAGCTTTCTCAGGGCGGACATGAAGCAACAGCTAGCGATCAGCAAAATGAGCGCGGGATGCTCTTTTCGATAAGAGCCATTTTTCATCCCGGTCCGGCGTTTCGACGGTCCGGCGCTATGGTTCAGAGTACATACATTCCCCGAACAAAGTCTTTTTTTAGGGTTTGGGATGTTCGCTCTCAATGACAGCTCAATGATAGCCTGCTCACAAAAACATACAGTGATTGTTGTCGCCGGTTGGGTTGTTATGGGGAGAAAATCATAACAACCTGCCAATAACCGTGACAAGATGGATTTCGTACAACCACATTTTCTGTATAAATTTAAGGACTCAAGCGAAGAAAATAAATACTGTCTCACTCCTAGAGATGAGGTCAGATGACTGATATGGAAAATGCAGACAATAATCAATTTTATAATTCTGAGTAAATAAGTGACCCAATAACCTGTCAGTTTTATTCATAAGTGCTCAAACTTGTGAAGCGTCGTATCCAGGACTAAGCTGAGTGCCTCGGGTCAGCCGACGATATCAACCAACTCAGACGTTGCAGTTTCAACAAAATCAATGCTTGCATTGGCCTGAGCTGGTCAGTCTGTAAGGCCGTCCATCAAAGTCGGCTTGAACAGTCTGCATCCGCTGAATTCATCTTGCTTCTCTGATGAGAGTCAACGCTAGAGAGCCACGCAAAATAAGTCAGTCATCGCAACTCGGTCACTCGTAGAGAGGTCAGCGACGCGAACATTCTCGCATGGTAACTCCGAAATGCATTGCACTAGACCAATTGGCGCCCGCCGTATTGATTAGCCAATCCTGCGAGAACGCCGCCGCTCACATCTCGGCCCCGAGCGCACAGCCGGGCAACGCCGGCGGCCGAGGAAAAAGATATCCGGGATGTCAAAAAGACCCGACGCTAATGGAACTCTAAGGTTCTGGGAAGCCGATGCAGCAGTGTAGGCGTTTCGGATCGATTGGTGGGCGCACTAACGCACCTCTAGCGCGCTCTGTTTGCGAACTGCAATGTTCAACGAGAGTGAGCATTGAACAGTACACAACGTCATCCGTAACATTCTGACAAGCTGTGAATCAACAATTGTCTAATCCGTCATTTTTTTAAGAGTTTTAGTTACTTTAAATGTCGCCATCCGTAAATTTGCTAGTTGAGCTCTCCACTTATCCAAGCATGATGATTGAAGCAGTAAGCGCTAACAAATATCCATATTTACAACAAACAAAAACATCATTACTTGCCCAAACTTTTGTTGTTATGTCTAGCTAATACAGTGGCTAATCACTACTATTTTTTGTATTTACACTTCTCCCAAGCCCGGCCTTTCTTGCTTTCAATAGGATCCTTGACACCAGTTTGTCACGCTTTCAGCATCACAAAAAAATGGACGTGGATCCGCCTGGTAACGCTAAAAGAACGGCTGTTCCTCTTCACGGACCAGCAATATCAACCGATAGAGCCTCACATCAGGCGATCGTGATCTTCCAGACCCACAGGCTAGCTGATAGGACTTTTTAACAGACAGCAGATGACACAGTCACATGAGCAGAGGAACCGAAACTAGCCGGGTTTCGCTTTCAATATCTCTGCCTAGAGCACTAGAAAAGCTTCAGGTACATTTACGGATAGCTGCGCATTTACTTTACTTCGTCTTTGTGATGACCCATGTTGTCAGGAGGACGCAAGAAGTTATCACCGTCCGGCGAAAATACCAACCGAATTAGATAACCAGCCAGGCCGCTACATGACGTCATTCCGGCCAGCATATGCCGTCACCCTGACCGCCAAACTTTGCACGCGGCCTCGGGATACGGCGTGGGTCCTGCTTGGTCTGGTTTCATGAATATTTTGTCGCGTTTCTCGGAATGCCCGTCGACAGAGCGGCCGTTTCGTCGGCCAATAAATCTGCATCTCGGAGGGATCGGCGCCGAGTGTCGCAGAGCCACAGTGTCCAAAGACAAGACTCCGGAGGATTTGGGACATGAGCGATGACGCAGGCGAGTGCCAGCAGAAAAGGGGAAGCTGCCAGAGATCAGATTGTGTAACTGTGAAGGTCGAACAGTCGACGCAGAGAGTTTTGGCTGCAGGCTGATGAGCAAAAACTTAAAACTACAGCACGGTAAGTAGGTTATCAAAGTGTCTAATTTTTCCCACTCCCACTCCCACACACTCCCACTCCCACTCTCACTCCCACTCCCACTCCTCCCTCCCCTCTCCCCCTCTTCTCTTTGTTAAACTGACCTCCTTTCCTAGCGGTATTCCGGAGCCCAGACAGGCTGTCAGGCCCACTACTTTGGCCACCAGCGTGCGAAACGTGAGATATTCATCTAGAGGAACGCCGCGCAAAATGGTCTTCATCTCCGGAATGCCGGACCCTGCCGGAAAGAACACAGAAGCCAACATCAGGAGATCAAATGTTACCAGGGGTAAGTAATTACGGAGAAGAGCTGTGGGCCATCAAACGGACTTTTTATTGTGGTACAGCCGACTACATCATTGTCAAACAACAGGTAACTCGCAAAACAACCAAACAAAAGTAGATACACGTAGATAAAGTTACAAACAAATGTACAACAATACCTTACAAATGTAGGCAAGGTTAAGGGGCTTTTGCCAGCGATCTATATCCTTTACCTACTGATTTCAGATCTGCAGACTTTTGGCTCTCACCGACTGCCGATTTGGAGACGATGTGTACGAAACCGGCTGAGAAGAGAATCAGGCTGATGGGTAGAGTGACCCAGGCGATGTACTGGAGCACCGGGTGTGTGGTCAGGTCCCGGTACAGCCAAATCCGAGCTGAAACAACCATGGGCACAGGGCGTGTAAGGGAAAGTATGTACATTGTACATCTAGAAGAAATCAAGTGGCATACAAGCATGAGTTGCAAAGGGCGGAGGTAAGGTACTGGCTAAGCCCTAAGTAAACGAAAAAGGTCATTTGGAAAGGTAACGCGTTCAGCGTTGTCATTAGCAAGGAAGGCGACCAGCCAACTTCAAACTGAAACAATGAAAAAATTGAAAATAAAATTTGGAGCGCGCCCGCCAGAAAGTTACTCCGACCCCCTCCTCCCGCCTTCTTCCATCAACGTGTTTATAGTTTAGGGTCCTATAGATGCTGTCGTAACGCATGCGAAAATCCAATCCCCAAACCATTACTAAATCCATTCATAAATCACATCCACACGCTGTAACCGGGCTATGAAATGCAAAGCAAAATAGGTACGCTCTGCCGGGATAAGAAAAACAAAAGATCGAGTGTGGAATCGAGGTTGATAATCGAAACCGTTCGATGATTAGAAAAACTGTCGGTGCCAATTTATGCGCGCTTTTGCTGAACCACGTAGCACAGAACTTTGACCAACTAGTAACACAAAATCGGACCTTTTTTAGGCATGACACATCAATCAGTAGGCACTTGGCATACCGTTGTTATAAGGTATTACGCAATGAGATAATTTAGGAAACGTCGTGTCACCAATCACTAGTGGACGACAAAAGATGTAAAGGACCGCAGGTGGCCCTTGTCTCGTATTTCGAGTGTTGTCTTAGCTCGATCGGTGACCACCTCCGTGATTCGGCAAATAAGACTGATAGCGCAAATCATCAATCTCCCAAACCCACGACAACACGCCCAGCGGCGACCACTGCGCGACCTGTGACTACTTCTCAGCCACTTCTTCCTCAGCACTTGACTCGCCATTATTTGGCGGTCGGTGCCATGCACCTCTCCGGACATGTGTACGGGCGTCGGTCAGAACTCTGAGTTTGTTTTCAAGAGAGATGGATTCCCAGCTGGAATACCCGGTTTTGAGTTGCCCCGTGGATTTCCATGATACACTCCTTGGTGGCAGCAGCTCTTCAAATCATTGACCCTACCACGTCATAAGCATTGTAGGCCTTATTATATCTGGTTTCAACAAACCAGCTTTTAGAGTACGATTTTTATTTGCCTTCTTCGAATTTCATTGACAAGGTGGCAAATAAGAAGAACTAAGAAATACGAAATAGAAAGAGGGACTGTAGCTAGAGACAGACAGGCACACAGACCGGTTGATAAACTTAATACACACGCGTATACACACACATAAAAACAATTTGACGTCGGCTCCGATTGTGATCCCCGAAGCAGAGTTCTATCAATTGGAAACGAGGATCACCCACGAATCGACAGCGTGATACATTGACGTGAGTATAAACATGACAACTATTCCAACATTAGACAGAGGTTACGCCTGACAGGAACTGATATGGAAGCGGCCACCCTTATCAATCGAACTGGTGACGCTTGTTTTCTCTTGTTGAATCTACATCGTCTAATCGCGCCAAAATATACATACGGAATCGATAAGTAATGTTTGGATACAAATATTAACCCCCGTCGGCCGAAGGGGCGGAGGTCGGGTGCAACCCTCAGAAAGTTTTTGGAGCTGAATTCGAATTTAGCAACCATTTGAAAATTTACGAAGTAGTTTTGGTGACTTCGTAACATGTTACGAAGCTGTCAGAGGCGGTTGACACGTATTACGAATACCCGTCACAGCCCCTACCGGTTGACCTGACCTGACCTGACCCGACCTGGTCTAAATGCTTAAAGACATCCTCTCTGATCAAAACTAACACGATATTCGTGATCAGCACCCCGGAAAACCACATAGCAGCCACACTTTACGACTTTCTAACAGGTCCCGATTTTCCCGGTTTTCTGGTCATTGGCCTGACCTGGAAGGTCACCCGATGACCTAGGACCTTAAAATCGGGTATCATCGGCTTTCTCTCGTGACGGGCAACACGCTCGTTTTTTCCGCGAAGCTCTAGCTCGATCAGGGGCCAAACACGAGGGGGTCGTACCAACCCCCCCCCCCTTGTGCCGTCGAAGAACGTAAAATGGCCTGTGCCGGCGAGGGTTAAGGTGGGATGGGCACTTTAAAGAAGACCATACCAAATCGGATGACATGCGATTTGCGCTCATTCCAACTTTTGTAATCTGGTACGGCGGCTGTCACCTGAACTTGACCAGTAGCAACATCCTAACCTGACCTGTTTTAAACAAGAAGCACATTATATTCGACGCGCCTGATATTGACTAACACGATGGTGCCAAAGTCAAGTCGCTGCGACCATTTTTGGCAAGGCTATTTGCCAAAATAGAACCATGAGTTGCGTCATTTGAATAGAGTCGAAACGGAACAGAGCCAGACCTTATAGAACTCTCTTGGCAATATCAATTGGCATGTCAACTAATCCAGCATAGTAGCCGTAGACAACTGAGCTAGTTTCCGGGGAACTTCAAAGTCACCAATCAAAAAGTCCCGCTTGGAGACCAACTTAGTAATCGCCGGCTGTAAGCTGTAGTTCACTGACTCAGTGGATCTACTCAGCCTTATCACGATAATGCCATCTGCCGTAACTTTCAACGAGCTCTTCCCGCAATGTGAATGTATTTGTGGATCATGCCATGCTCAACTTTTTCAAAAACTTCCCGATGCCCTGTTTACAAACTGATAGTGGTTATTTGATGGCTGACTCCGGCTGTGTCTGCAAAATTTCAGTCAAACTGGCTGAGGTCATCTAGGCAGGGTTCTTGCGGGGTTACAAGTGACTAAATCAATGTCTGCAGGCTTGCCAGTGACTGTGGTACTGTCTACAGGCGAATTAGGGTCTTGTCTGCTGGCCGACTGCCGTTAGTGGGCTGACGTTTTGAGAGCTCCTGCAGTCAAACCTGCCGACTGATTGTGATTCTGTCTATGTACAGGCTGACACAGACCAACAACCAAACCCTGTCTATGGGCGCAGTATGGTTGTGCCTGCCTGATTATCATTATCGTCTCTTCATGGGATATTTAAAGTTATACACTCAGGGTAATAAGACTTCTGTCTGCAGGCTGACCTATGACTATGACCATACTACGACTGCGCTAATCATAATTATGTCTGCAGGCTAACACCGGTTACATCTGCGGGCTGACCGGATCTGTGTGAGGCGTTCGATCGGTCGCCGCCCACGGTCTATCGGCCATTACCGTGGCGGCGGCGGCCGGGCCAACCCTGACCCTGACACACTGGCCCCCTCCCGGCGCCGCGTCGATGCCGTACCGCGGTGCGTCGGCCGCGACGACCGGCGGCGAGCCGGCAGTACGCCGCGGAGAGGCGGGAGCCGAGGCGCCCGTCGGCGAGCCGCGACTGAAGAATCCGGGCCACACATCCATCCGTGTTCGGAATATCGGTAGACGTCGGCGGGTGGACGTCGGACACTGTCCCGCGGCGTCCTGCCAGCCTCGTCACAGAGCCGCCACTGCAGGCTCAGATATTGATCACAGTTTCTGGCTCGGTAGCGGAGCCCAGGCGTGATATTCAGTCCGGCGGCTCAGCGGCGCTGGAGATCCGCCCGCGCTGCCTCCGAGCACGCTCCGTCCGCGAGCACGTGCAGGCTCACATTACACGCGGCTGGGTGCACAGCGTTGTCGGCCTGTCACTGAGCCATTCTGAACCCGAGGAGGAACAGAACGCATGGCTGGGTCTTGTAATGGGACAGAAGACTCGCTCGCGAGTTGGGTGAATTTCGGGAACACAGCGCATGCTAATGATCTGCGAGCATTTCTGCACTGAAAACTAAAATGATTCCGGGGGGGGGGGTGATATTAGGAGAATGGTCTAAAACGAAACCCCAATTATTCCCGTAATATACTTCAAGTAGCACCTTTTTGGCCTTAGATGCCCCCAATATCCCAACATTATTACCCTAATATGCCTGTTGGATGGCTAAGTGGAATCAAAATGATTATCTGGTTATGCCTCCATTATTCTTACGAAATGCCTAGTGTATTCCCCCTGATTCTCCTCTATGCCCCCTAGCATAGTTCGGATGCTCCGTCTAAACCCGATCTATGCTCCTTTGATGCTATCTATATACCCCATTGATGCTCCTTTGATGCTTGCTATAAACCCCATTGATGCTCCTTCGATGCTCTCTATATACCCCATTGATGCTCCTTTGATGTTCTCTACATACCCCATTGATGCTCTCTATATACCCCATTGATGCTGATTTGATGCTCTCTATACACCACATTGATGCTCCTTTGATGCTCTCTATATACCCCATTGATGCTTCGTTCCGCGGTGGCGGATCAAGGGATGGGCTCGCGGGGTCATGCTATTCCTCGTGAGATCCCCATGAGATACCTAGCGCACTGATTTCTTTACCCACACAAAGGTAAGAGACGCCATTTATGTAACCACCTTCGCCCTTCCTCTGAATTTCCTGGATCCGCCCATGCCATCGACGCTCAGCCACACCAACAGCAACCACGATACGCTTGTGTGTATAAGAAAAACATACTGTATTGATTGGAAAGACAACTGCCTCTGCATTCATTTCAAAATCACAGCTTCCTAGTTGCCAAGAGACATTCAATTTGTACTATCCATATTAAACATACGTCACGCACACGCCTCATATAACAAATGCCATATCACATGTTGAGATCCAGGCTGTAAAAAACACATGACACACGAGAAGCGCCGCTGGCTCTTCTACGATGACCGTTCCCTCTTACGAAGGAGTCGCAAAACAACCGGTGCCCCTTCAAATGGCGTGGTTTTTCCCACCTTGGCTACACAACGAAAGTTGAGCGTGTGGCTCCTACGAGTTCCCCCTCCCTGACCTCAAGAAAGTCCGACAACGTAGCCCAGGGGCTGCCACAGGATGTCAACAGGCCCGCCCATGCCGCTTGTGACCCCTTTTCCTGTGGGGCGGGCCATCACGTCCGTCTCCATCATCTCCGTCCATCATTCCGTCTCCACTCCGCCCCTGGGCTTACCTCACTGCGCGGGCACACTATGCTGTCAGCACCGACAGATTTTTCAGCGCGTCCGCCGTCGCTGTTGACTCTGCCGGCAGCCCCATGATGTCGTGGACGATGAACCACATCGTGGAGCGCGATGCACGCGACACTTTCTGGTTGAAGACGTAGTGGGCGACCCCGAAGAGAAGGAGTGCCTCTTCAAGGCACTGGGCGCTGGCCACCACTGTTTCTTCGACCACGATGTCGAAACTCGTCTCCCGCTCGTGTATCACTAGGAGACGTGTCATCGTCGCCGCTGGCACTTCCATGACGACCGTTCCCACCCTCAATAAGGCTCAATTCCAGCCTAAAAATGGCACCACTCGCAACCACACAGCACCCAACACCGCTCTTCACTGATCACCGGAAATGGCGGAGAAAAATGGCGGACCTTTGGCGCGTTCCTGATGCTTCCAACGAAGAATCATTGAGGAATAATATGGTTCTACTCGGGTGATATCCATAGTATTTTGAAAGAATCAGGCAAAGGAAGCATAACAGAAGAATATGAAAGCATCTCAAGGGAATATGAGCCTCCCTGTGATTCCGGCAAGATACCCTCTGGGCAATGAAAGGGTATATTGCAAGAATAGATAGAGAATCATAAAGGCGTAACTATCAGCGACTGGGGTATCAACAGCATCTTATACGCACGGAATCATGCAGAATCATTTGGGGTATCAATGGCATAATATGGCTCTCACAGGGTGATATCAAGAGCTTATTAAGAGAATCAATAATTCATGGAGGACGAGGGAATATCATGGGAATATGAAGCCAATTGCGATTCCATGAATATACCCCATAGGTATAATGAAGAGATCAAAAGGGAATAATTGGGGTAAAGACTTCAATGATCAGGGCATCAGGAGATTCATTTTGGTTTTCAGTGTGGTTGTAAGTTACGTGTGATTAACGGTGGAATCGTCGTTCGTCTTCTTGACCCGCGCATGACGGGGGGGAGGGGGGCTCTACAGAGTCCCCTCCCGTTTTTTGGCGATATCTTCTCAACCGTTTGACGCATCAACACGACAATATCGGTACCTTCTGCGGCTCAATTTTATATCTTGTGTCTGTATTACAACTTCCTAGCTACCATAGGTCGGCTGAAAATGACGTCAGATTGACGTTATGTAGGCCGATTTTGATGCAAAACTTTGAACTACGGCAATCGATCTCAAGAGCCCAGTTTTTAGGCTTTTCTTCGAATGAGTGGACTGCAAATGCACATGGCTATCAAACTGCTATCTTGGATTCTCAAACTTAAGAAAATTTGCATAATATACAAATACCATAACAAAAAAAAAAACTTATTTTGATGTTTCATTTTTTTCTTTTTACTTTTCGAAACAGCCAGAATAAATGTGATAGTCCGCCTAGCAATAACCTGCTATAGAAAGTTTTCGCTAGATTTCTTCAAAAATGGCTAAGTTATCCCGCGCCCGGCTGGGGGTCTTGGATTTCCACGCCCTGCTGGGGGGGGGGGGGTGTTTGAACACCCCCTCCTTCTAACTCGGCTCCTGGGCCACGTAGCGATACGCGGAAGGCAGCGTTCGAAAGAGCGTCAAAAATAATGAGGAAATCACATCGGTCAATTTTTTGGTCAGGTCAAAGGTCAGGTCACCAGAGGTCATTGAAGGCAAAATTTCGCCGATTTCCAGGTCGAATGTCGAAAATTTCCAAGAAGCCAACGCATAACTCGGGAACCAATAGAGCTACAGCGCCGCGGAAAAACGCATTCGATAGCCCTATTAACGACCTTTCTGAAAAATGCTCTCAGATTTGACCTAACGTCAACGGTTTTGCCTGCAGGGGGCAAAAACTGCAAAAATAGCCGATTTTTTCGGAAACAGTTTTTCTGCAATAACTTTTGACCCAAGCCTTGTACGAGCTTACTTTTACCGGCATCGTGTTCCTCTTGTCAAGACGCATCGAATGAACTATAACTTGACCTTGAAAGGTCAACTTACAAATTTGACCTCAGGTCAAGGTCATGACCTGACCGGAAAGGGTCATGTTGCATATCAGTCGATCCGTATCGTCGAGCTGAACACATCTAAGGCGTTTTCATCGCTCTAGCATGCCTCTATCAAAAGTTATTTTCAAAAAAAACTGTTAGATACCATTCGTGACCTAGGATGACCTCAGGGCATAAACAGGGGTCACGGACACCATTTCCATGTTCAGTGTGTCTAAACCACTTGTAATTCAGTGTTTGGTAGTGTTTATAATGTCTTTCGTCCAAAAGAGGCGCATTTCAATTTTCTCCCATTGACTTATAACCCGCGCCGTGCTGGGGGGGGGGGCGTTTTTACGCCCCCCCCCCTCAGGTTTTTCGCGAATATCTCAAAAACGGCGGCGCGCAGCGCCGCCGTTTTTGGTACACGTGTTCCTACATCATTTCCGCACATGTTGTGAAAATTTCAGACCTAGGCCGTTCAAGGTCAGGTCACCAGGTCACGTCAAGTGACCTTACCTCAGAAAAAGTTCAAAGGCTCGCTATAGCTACACCGACTGAACGATCACTTTGAAACTTTCAGCGATTGATATGAGTAACAGTATGTATAAAATGTATATCTCAGATTTTTGATATCTGTGACCTAAGGTCAGGTCAATTTTGCGACCTCTCCATTATAAGTCAATGGGAGAAAATTGAAATGCGCCTCTTTTGGACGAATATCGTTCAAAACGCTCTCAAACATCGGTTCATAGGTAAACATGACACACTGAATAGGAAAAATGCACCTGTGACCCCTCTGTGTGCCCCTGAGGTCATCTCAGGTCATGAACGGTCGCCAGCAGTTTTTTGGCTATAACTTTTGATAGAGACGTGCTAGAGCGGTGAAAACACGTCAGATGTGTTCAGCTCGACGATACGGATCGACTGATATGCAACATGACCCTTTTCGGTCAGGTCATGACCTTGACCTGAGGTCAAATTTTCAAAATGACCTTTCAAGGTCAACAAATAGTTCATTCGACGCGTCTCGACGAGAGGAACACGATGCTGGCAAAAGTAATGTCATGGCGCTTATGAGTCAAAAGTTATTGACGAAAAAACGTTTTTCGTAAAAACGGCTATTTTTGGAATTTTTGCCCTCTGGAGGCTAAACCGTTGACCTGAGGTCAAATCTGAGAACATTACTCAGAAAGGTCTGTAAAAGGGCTATCGAATGCGCTTTTCCGCGGCGCTGTAGCTCTATCGGTTCCCGAGATAGCCGTTGGCAGTTTCCAAAATGTTGAAATAGTCAACATTTTACCTTTGGTGACCTCTGGTGACCTGACCTTTGACCTGACCCAAAAAATGACCGAAGTGTTTTCGTCCTTATTTTTGACGCTCTTTCGATTGCCGCTTACCGCGT